CCTTAAAGAGACAGAGGACGAACTAGTGAGCTGCTCCAGCAGAGTGTGAGATAAGAGGAGGATATATTTAACCTAACACCGCTCCGAGGGTGGAGCCCCGCCCACCTCGCCACCAGGCCTAGGCGTCTTTTCTGGCAGGCTGCTGCTCACTAACTCTGGGCCACATGTAACTTCCTGTACTTCCACAGAGACGCTGAAACAACAAGTTTATCAGTCTTTCCTTCATCAAAGCGACGAATCGTTTTCAAACAGCACACGATGGGTTCACACTCTGGACCGTCGCTCTGATCGTTCTCATCTCAGAACAAATCAGCTGATCATATAAAACCAAGAAACGTCTCCGTGACATCATCAGTGACATCATCATTCAGACGGATGATGTTTGATGAACCGGGGCTGCAGGAGACCTGTTCTGCTCCAGTTTATGGAGAAGCAGGCGAGCTGATGTCACCTCGTCACAGGTTTCATCACCTGCAGACGCAGCCTGACAAAGGACAGGAAGTTCCCTGTGGGCGGAGCCAATCACCATCACATGACAGGAAGAGGAGGCTGACAGCAGACCAAACTGAGCTCGAGGTCATTAATGGTTCACAGGCTGCAGCTACACGAGTCCTAACAGGAAGTCATTCTGGAGACACCTACATGTCCTCAGTGAAGCTCCTGAACTTGATCACAGCTGCTCTGAGTGACGCTAAAGGAAAGCGAGGTGGGAATGAGCAGGTGCAGGACGAGGACGCGCTCCCGACGCCGCTGAGAAACGCCGCAGTAATGGCAGAGTCACCGGAAAGCTTCGGCTCTTCTCAGAAAGTGCACACGTTGAAATTACCTGCCTGTGTGATCAGATTAGCAGCTCACAGTGCGACTACTCACCAAGTCATGTTTTTCTCCCCCTCACAGGCTAATTTCATTATTTATCAGAGGTAAGAGCAAATTAATCTTCTGCTTCTGCTTTGCTGTCCCGACCTTGATCCATTTTCTCCTGGAGGTCTGAGGAGGAGGAGGAGAGAGACCCGAGTGGGGAGGGGATGTAAAAGTGGCGTCCTCGGCTCTTTACCGCCCTCTTTCAACCGACTTTAACTTTTACACGAGGAGGTTGTAGCGTGGCGCTCTGAGCGGCAGATTTAAGGCCGTCCTCCGGTGCTTTAACTGCACGTCCGACCCCCGGTGACCTCCGGGGTTCCTGCGCCGCTCCTGAGTCCATCAGCTGTTAAACCTGCTGTGAAACATCCACAGGCAGCAAAACCAGCCGACGCAGCAGCTGTGGGCTCTGCACGTGCTCAGTGTCCCAGTCATGGCCAATCCAGAGCTCCCAGTGAGGCCACTGTGTCCGCCACCTCACTGGGACCCTCACACAGCCCACCGGGCTTTCACCACAACGAGCGATCGGGCAGATCGAGGAGCCTAAGTTTGGTTGTTTCCTGACGTGCAGGATCTTCCTGTTGAACCTCTGAAGCCCCAGAGAGACGGCTCCGCCTCAGCGAGCTAATTTAAGACACCGTGTCACCAGGGGAAAGCGTGCATGTAGCTCCTCCCACACCACAGACGTCAGGATTTAAATCGTCTGCTAGATTTGTGGTGCTGCATTAAATATAAACACAAATGGCCACCAAGTCCCAGAATCAGCAGCCGTGGTGGTCACGTGATCCACGCCTGTGCAGGCGTGGCGTTTCTGTAACGTGCTGAGCTCTCTGCTCGAGTACAAATGCAAACATCAGCGTTCAGAGTCCGGAGTTCCTCCGTGACGGCGGCCGTGATGGCGGCCGTCTGCAGGCCGAGTCTGTCCATAAGAATCACTTCTGTCATCGTCCTGCAGACGTCGCAGCGGAGACGCCGAGTCTGAGAGACAGTGGCGGTAAAACCGGGTCCTGGTTTGATTGATTGATCTGGATCAGCTTCAGCTGCTCTCAGTAAAACTCGGGAGGCTCCTCGGGCGTGGCGCCGTGGCTGTAACCATAAATAATGACACCCCCGCGGGAGAACCTCAGTGGCGCAGCCCGAGGCCCCGTCATAATTACAGCACATCAGTCACTGTAGTTAGTTATGGCACATCGGGGGGGCAGAGCCATCTGTGGGCCGCGCTCGCCACTCCGTCTCCCCTCTCATTCGGCCTCGAGCGCCTCAGCGCTCCCCTCCTCCTTTCTTTCCTCCTCCTCCTCCTCCTCACCTCCGTCTCCATCCTCCCCGCTCCTCCAGCTGATTCCATCACAAAGACTGCTTCCTCACCGTCTCTCCATCCTGCGGTACGAGGCCTCGCCGCCTCTCAGCACCCCCCGATTCCTCCCACAACAAAGGCGCCCAGAGCCTGACCCTCCTCTCTCCACGCCGCCGGCAGACGAACATTTATTTTTGGAGCGATTTGACTTTCCAACACTTCCGGTCTGTGAGTCAGCAGCTGTGAGA